CACGGGACACGTGTCGATCTCACGATCGATCTCACTATCGATCTCACTTTTTGGAACACCACGGGACACCTCGGGGCACCACATGGATCTCACTATCAATCTCACTCAACGGGACGTCACGGGACACCACGGGACACCTGTCGATCTCACGAGCGATTTCACGATCGATCCCACTTTTTGGGACACCGCGGGACACCTCGAGACGCTTGTCAATCTCACGATCGATCTCACTATCGAAGTTCCACGGAAAACCACGGGACGACACGGATCACCACGGGACACCGCGGGACACCGCGGGACACCGCGAGCCATCGCTGGATGGACGGACGGACGGGCGGGCGGGGGAGAATCATTTGTCTTGACTTCGCCCTAGCAACGGCGGACACCACGGGACACCACGGGACACCGCGGGACACCGCGGGACACCGCGAGCCACCGCCAGACGGGCTGGAGGGGGAGAATCATTTGTCTTGACATCGCCCTAGCAACGGCGGACACCACAGAACACCAAGGGACACCACGGGACCCCACGGGACACCGCGGGACACCGCGAGCCACCGCCGGACGGGCGGGTGGGGGAGAATCATTTGTCTTGACATCGCCCTAGCAACGGCGGACACCACAGAACGCCAAGGGACACCACGGGACACCACGGGACACCGCGGGACACCGCGGGCCACCGCCGGACGGGCTGGGGGGGAGAATCACTTGTCTTGACATCGCCCTAGCAACGGCGGACACCACAGAACACCAAGGGACACCACGGGACCCCACGGGACACCGCGGGACACCGCGAGCCACCGCCGGACGGGCGGGTGGGGGAGAATCATTTGTCTTGACATCGCCCTAGCAACGGCAGACACCACAGAACGCCAAGGGACACCACGGGACACCTCGGGACACCGCGGGCCACCGCCGGACGGGCTGGGGGGGAGAATCATTTGTCTTGATTTCGCCCTAACAACGGCGGGTTCATTCCTCTCGCGCGCCCACGCAGCTTCGCCTCGCCCGCACGCGCGGCACGAACGAAACGAAACGATTTCCCGGTCGGGGGTCTCCGTTCCACTGCGATCTCACCCCCAACAACCGATACGCGTGCTCCTCCTGATCCCTCCTCCTCCTCCTCCTCCTCCCCCGCCCTCTCCCCTTCCCCACGACTACGACTGCGGCCACAAAGCAAGAGAGCGCTTTTTCCTGCGCAACCCTTCCCCAAAAGTTGCTCTGGCACTGTTGCCGCGTAGGCGGCTCAGAGGAAATCGGTTTGAAAGTGCCCCTCCTCCTCCTGCCTCCCCCACCCTCCCCTCTCCTACGCCTCCCCTCCTCCCCCCCCCCTCCTTCCTCCTCCTCCTCCTCCTCCTCATCCTCCTCCCTCCTCCTCCTCCTCCTCCTCCTCCTCTCCTCCTCCTCCTCCTCCTCCTCCTCCTCCTCCTCCTCCTCCTCCTCCTCCTCCTCCTCATGCTTATTAGTTGTCTCCTTCTCCTCTTCTTTCTGCTATCAAGAAGAAGTTAGCAAAGATAGCCAAGCATGCCGCTGTGAACGCATGCTACAAAGTCACCTCTCGCATCGAGCGTCAGGGTTCATTCGCAGCTGGTGCGCATGCGCATGAAAATCATGGTTCTTTCGGATACTCACTGACTGCTTTCCGCCTCAGGCTTGGACAAGCTAGCGGAGCACCATCATCAGGCAGGTGCTGAACAACGCTTTTAGCGCTGTAGGACCCGAGGGCAGATCCAGGAATAAAAATGGCGTCTGATGGATTGAGACTATGGTTCTGGAAGTGGGCCCATAAGGAGAACAGTTTCAGGCCAGCCATCAGACAGGCGTGGCAGGAAGCAGCGGAGCATGTTCTTGCAGTGGAACCACAGCATCGACCACGGCATAGTCGAGGCCCCATGGGGGCAGTCATATGACTTACTCGAGGCGCGTTGGAAGCCCAACTCGGCAGAGTCATGGGAAAGAACACCGGCTCCAGACGGCTGCATCATCGAGTGGAACTTCCCACCAGAGGTCTTCTCGGAGCACAATGGTGTCGGCATATCCATGGCGTCGGTTCAGGAGTTGGAAGACGATCGTGCCAAGCTGCGTTGAGGACAAAGGCGGCCAATCCTTACTATAAAGGCGGGGTCGAGCACGGAGTGGGCATGACGTCGTACACGACTCGTCGAGCAGCTTCGTGACTCACCGCACGGGCGAAGGACAGTAGAACTCATGACGGTGCTGGCGGCAGGTGTCTCGAGGCACCGCTCCCAGCGCAACGGACGACGACCATGATGCTGCACGCTCCTCTGCCCTAGATCCGGAAAGGGGCCCGAGGCACCCTTCCATTGGGTCAAGAGGTGCTCGGGCAGCCATGGGCCGATAGCATGTTCAAAATCAGACGGGCTGCCGACAGAAGCATACTTTCACTGGGAGTCAACTGGATGTCTTTGGCTCCGAGTCCTGCTGCCCAAAGAATGCGAAAGAATGGACGGAAGCGTCGCCGCCAGTTTCGGATACGACTGGAACTGCCAGCGTGAATGTTCGCAACTGCTTGAGAGCATTGCAGGAGAAGGCTCCTCCAACGAACGCTTGATTTTTTCGATGAGGCAAATGGAGGTCAAGAACCGTCAGACCCCCATCTCAGACGGGCGCGGGTACGTTGGGTACTCGCGCAGCCATCCACAGATGACCCGTCAGAGTTTGTCAAGTGGTGGGAAGAGGTGGTGGGAAGAGGCGAACTCACGGCACTCTGGATCGCGATCCATGTCAGTTCGGGGTTCGCTGTTTTCGCGCCCGTCAGAAAATGCTGGAATTGTGAACGGTTGGTACCGGGGCAAATATCGCAACCCGAAAGGCCCTGATGCAGATCTCTGGGCCGAGATCGGGGAGCAGGTTCAAAGCAGGGGTAAGCATTGCATTCTCGTTCTGTTCGTGGACTCCCGTCTCGGCAGGGAGGAAGTGTTCGATGGTCTACCTCCAGAACTGCTGATCTGGGGTAATCAAGATGCTGACGCAGTCGTCGAGGTTGCAACGGTAAGGTCGAACAGTCGATCAAGCAACACGTGCACGCAAACAGTCAACCCGCATTTGAAGGAGGCACGATAAGGACGCAAAGGCCTCGGAAGGCCATGCCAACACCTTGCGAGCGGGGCGCGCCAGCGAAAGCGGCCAAGGATGGGCCGAAGAAAAAGGACGCAAGCGTAACCTTATAAAACCGATAATTATTGTTATGCGGGTTGACTGTAGTTGCTCATGGGAGGAAAGCCTGTTTGCTCAGGCAACGTTTTCTGATAGCTACGCTCCATGCATTGGAAAAGCAGGAAGGGCTTGGCCTAGATGACCGACGATCTGAGCGGCACCACAGCCTCCACGGCCCAAGCAAGCCTCAGTCTTCAGTCCTGGCCAGTGTCTCTCTGAGAATGGTAGGAGCTGCACGCGTTGCAAGGGATCTGCAACTCTTGACACAGTCGCCCCTTGGCGCCAAAGTCCGCGTTTCAGTGTACAGGCTCTTGGTGGACTTGACTTTGTTCTTCCTAAAGAAGCTCGTCTACGTCTAGCGGGAGGGATCGGACAAGCAAACGGGCGTTCCGTCGACTGCCGGCTACTGCGGTAGCCAAGGCCGCCATTGCACGCTCAGCGGTGGTGCCAACCCTGGGGCACGGGGGACGTTGAAACAACCACAACCTGGCGGCGCAAAGCGACTAAGGTAAAAAGGCGGGGTGCTGAGCAGGCGATAGTTACGCCAGGGGGAGGGAAAGGGAGGGCGGGGTGCGGCGCGGCTGCGCTCCCGACCGCCCCCCTCCGGTCACGAGTCTCGAGGACAGCCGCCGCCGCCCCCACCTGCCTATCGTTCTTTCCGCCCAGTCGTGTCACCCAAACTCACGCACGAAGCCTGTGTGCACTGGGTGCCTCTTCCCCTCTCTGAGTGGGTGGCGACATCCAAACCCTGCCCCCGCCGCCCATCGAGTTGCCCGAATCCTTGATCGGCGAGGGTGGGGTGCGGATTTCGGCGCCGACGAAAGGCTGGAGCCCGTGATGCCGCACATGACCCCCCCCAGCCAGCACAAACCTTCTATTGCATCTTCGGGGGACCTTGTCTGTCCCTTCGCGCCCCTATCAACGTCGAATCCGTGTCGAATCCATGTCGGGCTCGTCGAGTCCGTGTCGAATCCGTGTCGAATCCGCCCCAAATACACGTTGAGATCGCATCAAGCCCGCGTCGGGCACCCGAAAAGACACCAATTTTGGGGACGCACGAGGCCCCCCGAAAATGCAACGTAACGAACCCTCGGCACTCGGGGCTCGGCGGCGAGCCCCGTCTTCACGCCCGCCGTTCTCCGCTCGGCCGCGGGCCCCGCGGGGCCCTCGCGGACCGATCCGGCTCGGGAGGCGCCGCCGAGAGATGGGTGGGGTCCGCAGGGCCCTGGCCCCAGATATCCGACGATGCGACCTCTCGATCCTTAACGGGCGAAGAACGGTATAAAATAAACTGTTTCGCTGTCGGGGGCGCCTGTCCCAGGGCGGCTGGACAGTTTATACACTTACGGTGGCACCGTAGGGGTATAAACTTTCCAGCCGCCCTGGGACAGGCGCCCCCGACAGCGAAAAAGTTTATTTTATACTGTTCTTCGCTCGCTGAGATCCGCTGCACCAGCGGCCTCGACCACGCCCCACGGTGCAATTCCTGGTCCCCCTTAGCTGTCCAGTGCCAGGCCCCGGAGGCAGCACTCCCGGAAAACCGCCGGGATCGACAGAGCAGGATCGTCGGAGGTCTGGCGTCGCGACTTACCGAGATGCTGCAGTCTGTCCGCGACGTCGTGAAGGGGCCCTGGGACACACAAATAAATAGACACGAATAACAGGATTCCCCATATTTCTCCCATATCTTCTGGGTGTTTGTCTTCCCCCACCCCCACTTCCCATCTTTTCCCATCTTTCCCTGGGAGTCGACACTGAATGGTGTCTGTGTGTTTTTGTTCCCTCCTGACGTCGGACCTCCGGGGGGGGGCGGTGGCGCCCTCCTGCGGAGGGGCCGGCGGCGATCAGCGGGTGCCGGGCGCCGCCTGGCTCCTCGAAGGGGGGGGGCGCCCGCGGAGTCGTTCTCGTCGCCGCCGTCGGCGTCGGCGGTCGCCGGCGGCGCGGCCGTCGTCGGAGGCCCGAGAGCCCGGCCGCCTCGCTGGGGGATGGCTTTTTCCGTCCAGGTCCCGCTTGTCTCCCCTTCATACAGTCAAGACGTATATTAAGGACGGGTGGTAAGGACGCAAGACCCTTGGAGGCCGAAGTTGGGTTTTTTAGGGCGGCGGGCGACCAGTGATAATGGCAAGGACGGGCCTCAGAGGCAAGGACACAAGGGTACCCTAGATGAAGGCGCGCGTCCTTACTAGGCGCGTTGACTGTATGACGGGGCACAGGATGCACACATGAATGAGCACAAGTCCCAGGACTCCCCATATTCTTCCCAGAGTTTCGGGATGTTCGTCTTCCCCTCCACTCCCCATATGTTCCTACCTATTCCTGGAGATCGACGATGATTTGTGTATGCGAGTGTGTTCTTCCCCTTCTGATAACAGCGTGGAGCCAGAGGGCTAACCAAAAAGAGCCGCAGAAGAGTCCCACAAGGAAGGCGGGGAGCCCCAGGCCGCCCGGTCCGGCAGCCGCTTTCCTGAGAATTATTCAGGAATCGCGATCCCGCCTCAACCAGAAGAACAACACAACGCGTAACACACAATTTCTCTGAGGTCCGCACAGATTTCGTGGATCGTCGCTGGAGCCACCTGCGCGCGGAGCGCGCCAGGGGCGGCGCCGGAAGCGCCGCCAAGGGTACCGAACGCCGATCCAAGAAACCCGTGTGGAGCTCCGAGAAATCATGTTTATGCAGTCGTTGTTCTTCGAATCAACGCCTGCCACTCTTTTGGTCGGGACGGCCATGATCCCTCATGGACAGAAACACACTAGGTGCACATGGCCGTGCGTTTCCTAGGAACCCCTAGGAATCCCTATAGGAATGCACGTTTTGACAATCCGACACTTTACTCCTCGACCCACCTCTGCACCTTTGCTGATATGATGGTCCTCTGTTGGTACTCACGATGCCGAAATCGCGTCCCATCGAAGAGGAACCGCCAGTCGAAAGAGTCGCATCGTCGAAAAAAAAAAAAACTGAGGAGGCGTAAGCCTTGGACCCCGACGGCGCTGGCCAACGGCTACGGCAGGCTCGTGTCCTGCCGACGTCGGCGCTGGTCCCTGACACCGCCTCCGCAACGCCAGGTCCTCCAGCATCGACCGCTTCCGCGCGGCCCGCGGCGTTCAACGCGGAACGCAGGCGGCGGGGCCGCCGCTGGACACGACGCGAACCTGCCGCACCCACTTCTTGATGGGCGTGTTTTCCACCACCACCATAAGTTGGAGTGGGGGGAGGAGGAGGAGGAGGAGGACAAGGAGGAGGCGGACGAAGAAGAGGAGGAGGAGGAGGAGGACCCCCTCCTCCTCCAACTTATGGTGGCGGTGGTGGAAAACAGGCCCATCGCTTCTTGGCCGGCTGCAGCGCGGACCGCTCACGGCTATCCGCGGAGAAGAGCGCCGAGCGGGGTGCGCGAGAGGGGCGCTCCGCGACGGGGCCGGGAGCGGCACCGGAGGGGGTGGTCTTAAGTCGGGCCTGTCGCTCTACAGAAGGAAAATTCAAAAACGGTCAAAAAAGATCTGGGGAAGATCTGTTTTGCTTTTTTATAATTTTGGAGCATGTTCTAGGCATTTCTAATCTTTCGCCCAAAATCCGCCTGTAGGGGGGCATGACCGGCCTAAGGGTGGTCGACGGCGACGGGCGCTCTCCTCGTCTTGGGCGCGGCGACGTGGGACCCAGACTTCAGGCGAGATGGTTTTGGATGGCAACCGCAGCCGGCTTCTCGTCGGTTCGGCCTCCTGGGGCCGCTCTCGGGACCGGGGACCATCCGAAAGGGATCCAGGACGCAAAACTGGCCCTGGGGGGAGGGGTCGGGCGCTATGGGGCCGCAGACTGAAAAAAACATGTCGTCGGGTGTCTGGGGACACAGCGTGGTCGAGCTGGAGCGGGCCACGGACGTGCTGATCGCACGCTGGCGCAGCGGAAAATGGAGGAGCACCCGTGGGCGGAAAGCATCTACGTATCCATGGCCTCGCGGGCCCGGCCCCTGAGCCGCGACCCTGGAGATACGGGGTGTTCTTGTCGCGGACGCCCCGCGCGGAAGGTATCCATGCGACCGCGTATCCACGCCATCGCGCCCCGGGATCCAGACCGCGAGGGCGTGCATATTGATATGATCGCCGCGCGCGAAGCTCAGCCGCGGATGCAAGGCGCGGGGGGAGCCGTGCAGGTCGACGGGCACGCGCAGCCCGAGAATACCACGTGTCGGATTCTGGAGGCCATGGATCGAAAAATGTCAGCATCTCTGGGGGGCCGCATCTCTTATTTCCGCCAGCGTCCGCGAGCCTTCCACCCGCTGAGCTGCCCTCGTCTTGCTTCCGCTGGCCTCCGCCGACCTCCCGCTGACCTTCCGCCGGGGAAGAGGTGAAAAAACACTTCGGCCCTTGAAGGCGAGGCAATTGCTGGAACGCTCAACCCCGTTGGTGGGACCAGAAGCCTGGTGTACCACCATGGCGTACCGCTTGAGGACAGGGCAGCTATAGAGCAAAACGGTGAGATTGTTGGTGAACTTCCCAGAAGCCCCACTGGCTTCGTCAAAACACCATGTCCTGCCTCGAACACTACGTATCAGCTTGAAGGTGGACCAGGAGGAGGAGGAGGAAGAGGAGGAGGAGGAGGAGGAAGAGGAGGAGGAGGAGGAGGAGGAGTGGAGGAGGAGGAGGAGGAGGACAAGGAGGAGGAGGAGAAGGAGGACAAGGAGGAGGAAGATGAGGATGATGATGAGGAGGAGGAGGAGGAAGAGGCGGAGAAGGAGGAGGAGGAGGACGAGGAGGAGGGGGAGGAGGAGATGGGGACCAAACCTCGCCGTCGCGTCGGCCGCCGCCTTCGCCGACCGCGCGCGGGGCTCCGAGGAGACCGCGCCGGCCCCGCAGGCCAACGTGCAGCAGGCCAGCCCGAGCCGCGCCGCGGCCGTGCGAGAGCCTGGGACGACGGCGCCGCTCAACGACGGCGGCGGCGGCGGCGACGGCAAGGGAAAAGACGGCGGCTTCCTTATCCTCTTCCACTTCCTCCTCCTCCTCCTCCTCCTCCTCCTCCTCCTCATCCTCTCCTCCTCCTCCTCCTCCTTTCTCTTGTTCCTCCCATCATCATTCTCCTCATCATCATCATCATCATCATCATCATCATCATCATCATCATCATCATCATCATCATCATCATCATCATCATCATCATCATCATCATCATCATCATCATCATCATCATCATCATCATCATCATCATCATCATGATCATCATCAACACTATCATCATCATCATCATCATCATCATCATCATCATCATCATCATCATCATCATCATCATCATCATCATCATCATCATCATCATCATCATCATCATCAACACTATCATCATCATCATCATCATCATCATCATCATCATCATCATCATCATCATCATCATCATCATCATCATCATCATCATCATCATCATCATGGCCATCCTTGTCCAGGCCTTCCTCCTGCTCCTCCGCCTCCTGCTCATCATATTCCTCCTCCTGCTTCTACTCCTACTCCTACTCGGATTCCTATTTCTTCTCCTACTCCTGCTCCTATTCTTCGTCATCAAACACCCTCCCCCTTCTCCCCCTGCTCCCACTCAGAATTCTCCTCCTGGACCTCACGCGGGCAGTCTTCGGTTTTACTGACGGCAAGGCAGGGCGCCCCTTGTTGCCCCTCCTCCTCCGCCACGTGCCCCTCTTCGGGCCCCATCCTCCTCCCCCTCATCTACCTCCTCTCCCATTCACCATCCTTATCCCCCCAGAGAGGAGAAGGAGAAGGAGAACGAGAAGGAGAAGGAGAAGGAGAAGGATTAACAAAAAGAGAAGGAGAAGGAGAAGCAGAAGGAGAAAGAGAAGGAGGAGGAGGAGGAGGAGGAGGGGTAGCGGGGAGCGGGAGATGGGGGAAGGCACGGAATACAAAGGAGGGAGAAGAGGAGAAGAGAGGAAGAGGAGGAGGATGAGTCCCGACACAAGCGCCCCACTAGGGCCGAGACAGCAGCCCCCGCGCTCTGGCGGAGCTCTTGGCGATAGCTCTGCGCCTGGCCTCCATGAGAGGGGAAACGAGGGATTCCGAGCACCTGCCCTTCGCTCGAAGGGAATTGAAAGTAGACAAGAGGAGATCAGACGCAGTACCTCGGCTGGGAAGCTCAGAGAGGCCAGATTTGCAATTAGAATGGACAAGCATGCGATCGAATGAGGAAAGCTCGAAAAAGCAGGCAGGCAGGCAGGGTATACACTTATCTCAAGAATTCAGGGCTACAGGACAACCGTACTAGTGACGTACATCATCTCCCCCAACTGCAAAGCACCCAAGACAACATGGCCCAATACTCCCTCCATTATGACGGACCCTGTTTGACGTACACCAACCATTACATATAGCACGGAGCTAAGCGAATACGATGTAGAACGGGAAGTGCTGGCCCATCAGGGCGAGGCTGATGAACATCCGATCGGACTGGGCGAACGCCGCAGCAAAATCAAAAGTATCCCGGCAAAGCAACCTAACAGCGATGTGTAGGAGCATATCTGGAAGCATTCCCCTGAAGATTCAGATGAGAATCCTGTAGAATTCTGCTGTTCTCGCAGTCGTAGTCGCATTCGCGATGGCAGTCGCAGTGGCATCGGCAGTCGCAGTCACAGCCTCGGCCTCAGCCTGCCTCAGCCTCAGCCTCAGCCTGCCTCAGCCTCAGCCTGCTTCAGCCTCAGCCTCAGCCTGCTTCAGCCTCAACATCGGTCTGCCTTCAGCCTCGGCCTCAGCCTCAGCCTGCCTCAGCCTCACCCTGCATCAGCCTCAGCCTCAGCCTCAGCCTGCCTCAGCATCAGCCTGCCTCAGCCTCAGCCTCAGCCTGCCTCAGCCTCAGCCTCAGCCTGCTTCAGCCTCAGCCTCAG